CATCTGTTGTGCTTTGGCTGCTGCTGCAGCAATTGGGGGAGGCTTTAGAGGCCGCTTCCAGCCAGACTGAGCGAGCTGCAGAGGCGAAACGACTCCGATTGAGCAAGGAATCCTGGGAGTCGAGCTTCATGTGCGTCGTATGCATAGTGTCTATCTTCTTGGGCAATCGGATAACGGTCTCGATGGTCTCTGCAAGATATGGCGCAGGAATTTCTTTTGCGTTGAGCGCCATGGATACTTGTTTTTCTTCGCGCACTGTTGCTGTACAGCATTTTAGATTCTGCTTGGAATTAACACATGCTCATCGCATGATTCAGTGTCGCTGCTGTTGCAGAACTGTTCTGTTGCAGAACTGTTCACGCGCCTGCCGGTTTGGCAATTGCGCTCTGTTCTAACCATGTTGATAATAACACGGTTCAACTTTAATTCACCGTAAACATGTTTGAGCGTGCGCAGTGCTATGGCGGAAGAACGCCACTTCGCGCTGCAGTCCGCGGCCAAAAATGTTGACGGAACGGCCGCATCTTTGGGCCACTTTTTGGAACAGGAGACCCAGGTGAGTTGATCGCTTTCAGCTTCGCATAAAGCCTCTGCATTTGTTACAATTGCAGGTCTGTTGTATCTTGCTTGTTACGCAGCTGGCGGAGGAAATAGCGGCGATGGAGGCAGAGATAAGGGGATTCGACGACGCAAGTAGCGATCTGCGGGTGTGCAAGAAGACTACAGTAGTGTTGCTAGCTTCTCCTGGCACATAACTTGACGAGGTGTAGCACGTGGCTTCCTGCTGTTGCTGGATTTTATGGAGACTTCCATTCTGTTTTCCAGCGTCCGTGCACTTTTTTCTGTTTTGCAGCTTCTTGCGGATATCCGCCACAAGGAGAGCATTGTCGAAGCATTTGGACGCCTTAGTGGGGTCCGCATACATCGAGTCAGCACTACAGGGCTAGTCGCCGAGTTAGTTTGGCCTCGGTCCCTTCCCACTGTGGCTGCGCTCCAGTTGGCTGCTGGAACCTGTGGCACAGATGCAATGGCGCAGCGCGAGTGCAGCAGTAGCCCGCTTTGTGGGCCTTCCGCCTCAGCCGATTATCCCGTGGCTTCAACAAGGATCGCTATTTCTTGGGACCGCCAGGTGACGGAGCCAGCACAGATGCTAAAGCGGTCGCAGCCTGCTCCTCGACTTGCTTCCGTGCCTTCAACAGCTGCAGCCAAAAGAGCTTCACCAACCCCTGCTGCTGCTGCTGATTCGTCGACACCACTAAGGCAGCGCGTGCAAATAATGAGGCCGTGTTTTCCTCCAGGAGGCCCCTACAGCGACTTTGCAGTCTGCACACCACTGCTCGCCTCTCGGCGAGGAAGAGCACAAGACGCCGGTGCAACGGTCCCAGATGAAGTGTGTCCTGCACCAGGCGCTTCAGCAGCTTGCCAGACTGGTGTTGCATCGCGGCAACATCAGGCACACGCAGGGCTAGGCAAAGCCAGTGAACCGCGATTCTTACCCATTACCAGCTGCAAGCTGCAATCTCGTTTTCCCGTGTTACGAGCTGCAGCAGCAGCAGCAGCTACGGCCACTGGCGCGACCAATGGTGATGCTCTACCTCCACATAAGAGGTGGATGTTTACTGTGGACCTGCTGCGTTATCTTCTTCTAGGAGCTGTGCAGCGGTCGCTACAGCAGATGCTACAGCAGGTGAGCTGTTTTCTTGCTGTGTGGCAAACGCGTGTCAAGACGCTCAGTCTTGCCTGCTGTTAAAGAAATTGCGTTAACGCGGTTGTTGTCTTTTATTTGTTAGCAAAGATGCAGAGGTGATGAAGATGATGAGCATGTGGGGGCAGCGACGACGCAAGACTCGTTTGGTCTCACTTCAGCAGAATCCTCTGCTGACCGTTTCCGCCATAACACTGATATGAGGGGTTTTAACCGCAGCGATGACATGAGCAACTGGTCATCTGCGGAGACAGGCAGCAGCAGTGCAGCGGGAGCGACTGATAGTCATTCTGAAGTCCTAGGAGCCCCACCCTTCCCGAACTTGTCTGTTGTGAGGGCGCTTCTGCTTCATGCACATGCGGCTGCTGGAAGAGTCGCTCTGCTGCATGACCAGCTGCTCCTTGTTCTTCATTCCTTCACAAGTGTTACATCTGTTATCTGTACGTTTATTTGCATCGCATTATGGACAATGCTGTAGGAGCAATTTGTATTGCTTGCGGCTGCACGAATTGGTGGCAGATTGGCGTTCGCTGCTCTATTTCTTTTGATCTTTTGCCAGTTGAGGATCAAGGATTGGAGCCTTCATTGCCTCATCTAATCTTCAAGACATTTTTGGCGCCCTCAAATGACGAGCTTCCCGTGCTCCAGCTTAGCCTCATTGTAAGAACCCCATTACCATATTTCTTTGTTCTTGTCCATCATTCATACAAGCATTACTACTGGCTATAGCGCCAGACTAGCTGACGAGGCTGAAGGTTCCCCCATAACAATTTTCTTGTGTTGCGGGAAAATCTGATGAAGCTTGCGAATGATATGTGGTTGTTATCTCTCTTGTTGACACTGCTGTGGCAAGCAGGAGTCGATGATCATATCAGGCGTCGCCATGTCGATATATGCGAGACCAGCCTGCGATATTGTGGCTTTCTGGTGTATTTTGGTTGCAGATCAACTTAAGTGAAGCGCTTTCTCGCGGTTCTTTATTGCTTGCGGTGGAGTCAGTGGACGTGAAATGTCTTTCGGCTGTTGATGACCTTTGCAGCGATGGGCAGAGGGCTTGCAGGGCGTTGCAGGGGGCAGTTCAGTCCCGTCTCAAGGCACTGTGGTGAGGTAGTCTGCTTGGCCGCCGTTTTAGCCGTGGCTCATTGAGTATAACGCGACAAAATTGCGGGTGTCCGGTTAGGTATTGGTGCTTCTAAAGATTGCATTGATGTGCTCCCTCTAGGGATCCCGAGCAACAAGAGCCATCCGTGGAAGGGTGCATGAAGGCATTCTCCGACCAGGGGCTTGTGGAGTGCCTTTACTCTGCTTGCGACGAAGGTGAGGGGTATTGATTTGTGCGGCGATTTGCCATCTTTTCTACGCTATTTTCAAGGCTCCATCATCTTATGAGTCGACGGGGCCAAACGGTGGTGTTCTGTGCATCATGCGCTGCAGCTGGTTACACCTGTGCTGTAGAGGACTGGCGGCAAAGTAAGTTCGAAAGCTCGTACCCAGGAGACGCAAACGATTCCGTTGGGTTTGTTTCTCGGGGAGCCGAAGAGGTCACCGCTTTGGGACGCTGGGCTGCTGTTCTCGAGGGAGCGGGAGTTGTTTCGCTTCTCCATTAATAAGCATAGTCACTTGGAACAAGGCAAGCAAGGCAACGCGTGCTCGTTGGGACACGCACACAGCGCGTGAAGGCTCTTTCACCATTGCTTTGCTACTGTTTGTCCGTGCGAACAAAAACCTGCATAAGTGAACAGAGCTATAACAAGAGAATTCGGCTTCAGGCGCACTTAAAGATGTGACGTTGATCTCTTCAATACGAGCCCATACCTTTCTTCACTTTCGGTGCTCACGTCGGAAGTATTGCCTCGAGTCGAAGATCGGGGAAGTCCGTGGGACTCGTTTAATTTTTTTAAGCAACACGCCTTATGAACTAGTCTCCTTTATGTCCTATCGTCACTGATGTCATCACAGATATCGTGGGTGAGGCTCATTACAGGCTGCCGAATTTTTTTAGTTGATAGGAAAGATTGCGGATACCCAGAGCGATACTTCGGTAGAATCAACAGTGCAGCCACCTGTTGCAACCCGAGCACCTGCTCCTCTAAAGAAAAAATAGGTGTGACTCGAGACTATTCTAAAAAGTGTACTCGACGCAGGAGCTTTATTATTCCGACGCATGTTTCCGCGCTTGTTTCTCAGCGAGGTGAGTACCACAATGCATGGCCATATTTGCAGCATTTCACAGTTGTAGCCGTCTAAGCCAACGCCTGCCTACTTGACAGCGAGAGTATCTGGCGGTTACCAGAGAGGCAGCCGCCCTGACGAACTGGCTCGCTTGCAACTTGTTATATTCGTAAAGGAGGGAAATATATAGTTCGTAGCAGCAGGGGGGTGCGTCCTGCTAGGGAAAATCAGGGCATCTGTCTATGAACCTTGATATGGCAGTATATTTTATGAATTGTCCTGCTCTCAATAGTGACCGCAGAAAAATATTCGGTGAGGCCGTTCACCCTGAATCCCTTTGCACCATCAAATCACGGAGAAGCAACTGTTTCCAGGTTGCCCTGTATTCGCATATGAGGATTGCTCGCCAACCAAAAACTCGATGGAGTCTGCGCAGACTTGGGTTTGCCCTCGGAGCCAGGCAATATACGGACTTTCAGTTTTCTCGCCGCTGCGAGTGAAACTTAAACTATAACTTCAGCAGCTATAGTGTGTGGAGAAAGAACCGAAGTGGTCTCCACTCTATGTTTGCAGCTGCAGAGGGGTATTGCCTCGATAAGAAGAAGCATGTACGCCTGCAGAGAAACGCAGGCTGGGTTCTTACTAGCGACCAAGCGCTGGGATCGACAAGAGCCGCAACAAATTCGAGCCTCACTATGCCTAATGGCAGTGACACCGTAGAATTCTGGCTATTCTCGCTAGGGAATGCTAAAATGATGTTGAGTTCCTCGTGGCCCCTATGCCTCCGGGCGCCCAAGGTAGTATGTCTATGCCTGAACGACCAACTGACGCAGTGCTGACGCATGGCACGCGTTTCGCCTTTCTTTACTGTGCAGAAACAGCAAGCATAGGTAATTTTTCTTCGCTGTACACCGATGAACGTATCCCCTGGCTACTTGATTGAGTGAACGAATCTCGTCGGGAGGCAGTAGCCGCAAACATACAGCGGCCTAGAGTGGCTTCTGTAGGAATTGAGAAGCGCGTTGATAGCGTAGTTGGACAGAATAGACACAGGGACACATAAAAGAGCCAAAAATACGTGCCACAAGCGCTTAGGTCTGTGTACACTCCAATGCTAGAATTGTTAAGAAAGAAGGGCAGGGCATGTGTCAGGGGAGAGCGCTGGGTTCCACTGGTTGGAAAATTCCGGCATTTCGCACAATGTACGACGTTCTCCTGGATTGAATTTTGTGGCAAGCCAACACGGGTAAGCGCAAATATGATTATAGCTGACGTACATGGGACTAACTCTGCTGCGTGACGATCCCCCAAGTTCATCAGGTCCAAAAGAAACGAGACCGTAGAAATCGCCATATCCGTTAGTTATGGCTGGGATTTCTGCCCTGCCACTTGCGCCATTCATCCTGGGGGAGTGATTTGCAAACCGAAGAAAGTTCTTTGGAAGGGTAAGCGGGCCCCTGCTGCCTGGCTTGTCGCAGGCAGGCATTTCCGTGCAGGGCGTTCGAGGTATTGGGTCGTAAGTGAACGCAACATTTCGCCCGTTCACTCTCTTCGCCCAAGCAGCCATGAACGCAGAGTCTCCAGTGCGCGGAGCCCCGAAGATAACTGCGTCTACTTTAGTCGGGTAGTTCAAAGCAATGCCGTATGCCATGAGAGCTGCCACTGCTCCACCTAGAGAGTAACCGGTTACCAAGATCCGACTCAGAGGCGCCTCAGGCTTGTCTACGGACGCAAGGTACACCTGCAGTGCTGGCCAGGCGGCGCTGAATATGTGAGAAAAACCGGCAGCTGTCCTACCCTCTCCATCCCCCAACCAATTAAAAGCATGTTCCGCCTGGCCATTCAAAATCCACTCAACTTGCGTTTTTGTACCTCGAAATGCAATAAGCACCTCCGTTCCTCTCCGCCCAGCCACTGCTAAGACATTCGTCCTGTTCCCCACGCCTGGGGAAAGAGCCTTCAATATTAGCTCCGTCCTCCAGCCAGGTAGCAGGTCCTGACCCTGCAGGTGCGGCACTCCCTCAGGTAGCTCACGGGTTGAGCTACGGGCCCGGGATGAATTTTTTTCGCTCCCTACAGGCGTCGATACAGGTGCTAAAGGGTTTGCCGGTGGCACATCAGACCCTTGACCTCCTTTCCCTTCTGTAGACGGTTCAGGAGTCAGATTTTGTAAAGTCCAGAGGGGAGATGTAAACAGTCTTGTTGGTTCTCCTTCTGGCTGTTTTGTGGATTCTGACTCCCCAGAAGGCAATGCAACGCGTGTGGTTGGCTTGGTTGTCGGTCCTAAACTCCACAGCGACAGCGCTGGAGTCCCTCTAATGCCGGGAAGAGATGCGCTTTCAAAAAGTTGGGGGACTTGCGGTGATTGCTCTTGCTTGTTCTCTGTTTCCTGATTACTTTTCCCTTCGTTGTCTTCGTTCTTATCACCTTGTTTTTGCTGCTCTTGAGCTTCTCCTTGCAAGCGTCTTCTGTCTTTATTGGTGCGTGACTGCATAGTATTATTTGTGCCTGCAGGGTTCTGAGGCTTCAAGTCTCGGCCGCAGTAGGCGAGGGCCCATATGTCATCTAGTCGAGTAAGTGCTTGCCACAGTAGCTGGTAGGTGGGTCCCTCCAAGCTAATGACATCTTTGGGGGTTTTCTTAGGGATGCCTCGTCTTGGATGTAGGAGGTTCTTGAGAGGCAACGCAAGTGTCTCAGTACCCCCTGGCGGCAACACTACGGGAGACAAAGGCGGTTTTCCGTGTGCTGTTTCATCACTTATGGCCTGGCACGGGTCAAACCAGGCTGTGCGGCAAAGAATGCGCTCAGTGAACGCTCCCAGGAGCCAGCAGGAAAGCTTTCGATTAAGAGCAGACGTAGGAAGTGCTGCGCACGCCATGTCTCCCAGGTTTACTCGAATGGGAGCCCCTTCGAGGGCCTGCAGTACATTTCCCAAAAATGAGCCCTGCAGCTGTGGCGCAGTCCACTGCAGCTCGTTGGAGTGGACCTGATGCTGAAGCCCCTCTATGACGCTTTGCTGGACGCGTCGTGGCACGAATACCGGCTGACGTTGCGAGCCTGCGCCACGCATTAACCGGGATTGAGAAAACAACTGGGATGCGGTCTGGCCCAAAAGTGAGCGGTGGATGTTTTCTTGGATTCCAGTGCCGTTTTTAGGCCATAGGGTGAAATTAGCTTGCATTGCTGCATTGCGTGTCCTCAATCCGGAGCCATTTTCCCAGACAAATTGCGGCAGCATGGGTGTTCGTGATGCTACTTCTACGAGCATTGTCTGCTGATGCCTCTCCCTCGGTGAAGCTTCTCGGAAGAGCAGAAGGGAGTCGGGCTGTAGCAGCCTAGGACTAGAAGGCAGCATCTGGTTACCAAATCGTGTGTTGTTCGTCACCACCCGCAAGCTTTGTTGGCCAAAAGCGACAAGGAGAGGCAATAGCTGGAGCTGCTGGAAACGTCGGGCGACGCCCATCAGGAAGCTCTGGGATGGGAGTTCCTCGGTGCAGTCCCTCACCGTTTCACCGGCCCCAATAACAATCGTAACGGTCATGGGGGAGAAGAGTGGGGCGGATTCGTAGTGGCGCGCATCAGGTGGGGCCGGCGCTGGGGCAGAAGCCGCTGGGGGAGAATCAGAGGATTGAGAAGAAACTGAATTTGAAGTCAAAGTCTTATCGGCAGCTTCGACGGAGGGTGGAGCACTCGTTTGGCCCTCGCTATCCTCTGTAGAAGGAGGCGCTGTAGGAACGGCCATGCGATCATCTTCTTTTTCAGCACTAGCTGCATGGGAGAGGAGGGGTGGCTGAGCTGGAGTGGCAGGCGTCACAGCTGCAGCTGGTGGGATGGCAAGCTCAACTCCAGCATCATTGAGGGGCTCGTTATGCTCCTGAGGGATTCCGCAAGGCAACAACGCTAACAAGCACAATATTGCTGAGGATAACCTGCTACGGTGGTACGCCAATGACCTTCGGAGGATCCGGCAGTCGGCAGAGGCGCCAGGCGGCAGCATTCTATGTTGAATAGGGCCGGCCGGTTCATGCATGCGGGTCTCTGACGAACTACAGATATCCTGGTATTTTTGGCTGTCACGCCCGCTGCGGCGTTTGGCTCCGAAGCTAGTCATGAGTAATGTGTGGAAGATGAATGACTTTGCCTCCTCAGGGCATGTACACGCCGAGTTTTAATGTGTTCCGCTTCCATGAGATTAAATATTGCGAAAAACCAAGTAGGAAATACATAAACAATTCGTAGAGGCAGTTTTACTAACAATTCTCACGTTGCGAAATGCGATATGATTAAAACAAATATAGCAGATCACCAGTCCGCTCCACCCACACCGGCACGCGACGACCGGAAGCCAAGACGCTTCACCCACTTCAAAAACAAGTCAGTTTGATCTATGTAATGGCTAATTGTCAGCAAATTGGGGGAGTAAAGCTCCTGCGCGCTGTTGTTGTTTGCTCTTCGCTGATAGATCGGGGCCCGCAGACAAACTTGTTGGGCTCTAGCTGATGTGGTCCAGTGGTTCTGGCCCTTTCCACATCCGACGCCCTGTGCTAGTACTTATGTGACAATGCGAATGTCCCATTCCTTCTATATTTCAATTATGCACTCAGCTTTTGTTGCAGCTCCTCACCTTGCTGCACTATGTTGTCAACAAGCTCTTGAAACAGCAGAGCCCGTGCATTGTGTAGCTTAGGCCCGTAGGAGAAATGCTCGTGCAGGAAGGTACCAAGCAGATTTTCTACTGAAAACGTTTTTAATGTTTAAATGTGGCCATATATATTACACGGACGTCCACTCGACAAACTCGCGAGCGAACGATTCCTCGCTAACACTTGGACTAACGCAGCTTCACGTTCGTGCGTACGTATGATGCGACGGCTCTCGAGGCCTGTCTTGCTTGGACTCGAACAAGTTTGTGCTCCATTATATATAATAGAGCCACACGGATACCTGCATGTACACGCACAGCAACGTAGACTCCAATTTGGGACCACTCTGCTGTGTAGTCCACATCTTTACAGAACCTAGCCACGGTGAGTGTTGCAGGTGCGTCTTTGTTTGAAATCGAATTCTTATGACTGTCACAATGAAAGGGATGGGAGCTGTTTACAGCCGTGAATATATGAGGGTGTTGGTTGGCTCATTTTCAAATTAGCCCCAGACTCGTCGCGAAATCCACAGCTGCTACATGCAAGGCACAAAGAACCAGCTATACTTGTGGATCGTTTTCCTCCAGATTAGCCTTTTTCTCGTAATCATAACACGTTCGCCCGAAGAACTGTACAGTTTTGGGGTGAAGGCTAGCAGGGAGATATCTTTGCTTCTTTTTTGTTCCTGTGTGTTTTTAGATACTCGCTGTAGTGGTGCTTTGGAGTCCTTGTTTCCATACCCAACCCAGTGAGGAACTGAGAACCTCTGGCACTTGATGCGTTGTTAAGTGAAAAGTAATTGTGAGTGTACCGTTAAAATCACATGATGTGAGGCGAGCTATTGAGCGTCTAGTGGTTTATCTTGCGCTGCGCCAGGTCACCGTAGTTTCCGAAGTAGCGGGGTGGGCCATGAATTCGATCTGAATTCTTGACGTAATACAAATACATATATAATATATGAAGCGGATAGCATTTATGTTACAAGGCTGTGTCTCATGCTCAAATGGACAGACACATCTTCAATCCGTGGCCTTCTCCTGATGGTAACAATGAGCTTGGTGGCGTTAGACCTGCCTCGCGTTTTATATCCTTACTTTGCCAAGGCCACAAATATATAATCGATTGCTGATTCCAAGGATCTGCTTTAGTAGGAGCGTCTCATCGTCATTCTCCGTACTTTTTAGCCATACCCGCAAACACATCATAGTTCTGGCTAACTCCAGATCATTCCAGCTCCAGCAAAACGCAACTCCATCCAGGACAGCTGCATTTGTTTCTGAGGTACTTGGGCAGGTGCACGAGCTGCTGCAGGAGGCGAGCCCACAGCGTAGTTTCGATAGAAGGATCACAGTTGAGCAGCCAGGAGAAAGGAAGGGCATTTAGTACAACGTTTGGCGTTTTACCCTTGTCAGTGTGGAGCAGCTGGATATCGGCCGCGTCCTGACGAGGCTGTTAATCTGGTGCCTAGCGAGGGATCCCCTCACAAGACCTTTATTTCCACCCTCTTTGATTACTGTCTGCTGGGTATAGTTGAGAAGTAGAAACTTATCCATTTCTATATTGACACATTTTTTTGCTCGGGAGGCGAATTGTGGAACACAATCTCTTGTAGTTTCAATTCCACCGGGCTCTAGCCAGCTGCTCTAAAAGCATTGTTCGTGAGAGGGTACATAACCTAGTATTCAAAAGTTGCTTCACCTTGTCCCAATTGCATGTCTCCACATTATCCTTGATGTAAGGCGCGCTACGTGTTTCTCGTACCATCGCAGCGGTTTGGCCCTCATATCGGTGAAAGGGACATCCGCCAGGCCTAGAGAAGCCCTCACGTGGCTTACGCTTTCCTTCTTCAGGGTCTGTTGATGTTCCACAAAGTCCTTTTCTGAACGGTTGTGCCTCCTTTTCCGTATAAAAGTTCCACGTCGGCCGATCAGACGGCGTCCAGCGCCGGCCCCAAAGAAAAGTGACCGCTATTGTAGCCAGGCAACCCCGTCTTCCGTGCAACTCAAGTAACTTGTTATAGTTGGCCATTCATCGTTTTGACTACATCATCGCAAAAGCCTTTTTGAGAGCTCGCTGTTTGTCCCGGCTGACGGCTCTTCAGTTGTTTCAATGACTTGCACGTTATGTTGCATATTCACCATTTCTGAGTGAGTGTTGGCTTTGACGCCTGTTCATAATTTTGGGGCGCAAGACAGCGTACACGTTTCTGGAGCGGCCCTGACTTGTAGTGCATTGCCTGCAGCCTAGCCTTTGCGCTGATGCCAACTGCCGGCTAAACTAGAAACTACTCCTATCCACGCGCATCACTAGGTAACAGCAAAAATGAAATCTTGGGAATTTCAAAGTTACAAAGACAAAAGAGGCAGAGCTGGTTCAATTTTCAGTGCCTGACAAAGTACCTCCATCATCACTAGTTGCAAGCTTTGAGCCTGGCTGCAGAGCTTGTAGCGTCCAGCCACACGGAGAGATCTGTTTTTCTGTTCAATATATTGTTAATCGCTATCATAAGTGAGATAAATTTAACTTAGACTCCTTCCGAAGGCCATTTGCTTGCTCGTTGTGGTGCGAACAGTACGAAAACTATTGATTGACTTAGCAGCCTGAATATTAGCAGCCTACAGCCGTGTCCCATGGATTGCAAATGCTAACAGTCAGACAGACGCCAAATTACATTTTATGTTTTAAACATTCGTGTGACAGTACAATAGAGAACCGGAAATATTTTGGGCAAGGAACATACTCACTTTGTCAATTCCGTTGAGTGCGGAGTATGACTATGAGGGCAAAATAGAATGATTTCAGCAGCTAAACAAAGTAAGACTCAATAAAAGCTGTCTGCTGCGTGAAAAAATAGTAGAATGTTATTACTACAATTGTAGATCGCTTAACAGAAGATCTCAAATATGCTTGCCTTGTGGAATAAAACAGGCGAGTGTTGCTGCACACAATTTCGTCTGCGCCTGAGCAGAACCACGGGGACAGACGGATAGCAAGTTGTTTCTCAATGACAAGTGCTACTCAAAACATTTCTGTGGCTCTTTGTCATAGTTAAATGCACCTCAAAGTAAGGCATAGTGTGTGCGGAACGTTGTCTGTGTCTGTTCCCACTTGAAAACGGTGCACGCGCTTCACTTTTGAGTACTGACACAACACCTTTAGTTAAGAACTAACACACCCAGAGCTCCTTTGGCCGCTTATATCTGCTCTCCCGCCTTCTCCACCTATTTATCCTGATATCCGTCAAAAGTTTGCTCGTCCGACTTATCGAAGGAAGAAGGCCTAGGTAAGCAAGCTTAGGCATCGCCACCGGCATCTTTGACAATTAAGCCTCATTTTTCATTGTAGAGCTGTTCTACGTAAGGAAATTGGTGGAAGTGGAGAGGCGAATCAGACCAACAGGTGTAAATCTTACAGCATGAATCTCCAGGATCGCGTTGATGCCTGTTCCCCGTTCAGTCATGTGCATCGATGCTGACCCTGATTGAAGGGACTCGATCCCTTCGCAGCATGCTTGCTTTTGGACAGTGCATGCCGCGGCATTGCAGTACCAGGGCAACGTAGTTTGTCGCCTATCAGGAATCCTCCACCGCTGTTCTCACCGTGCAGGCCCTGCCGCATGCGCAAGCCTACATATTTGATTGCATGCATCACAATGCAACGAGGAAAAGAAGTCTAAAAGCAATACACTTATGAGTTTTTAACGCCTTCGTGCCTTGCTCTAGGATGGTCATGATACAGCCACATTCATACCCGCATATATATATATATATATATATATATATATATATATATATATACATATATATATACCCAACAAAGTGTAAAAATGCACACGCAATTACGGCCACTGAAGAGAGAAACCATGCCGTAAACTGGGGTTCCAAACGAGAAACTTAATTGATGTCGAATTGACAAGCTCTATCAAGCTCGGTGCAAACTTTGAACGGGCTGACCGGGCCTGTAGCTGGCACGGACTTCGCGTAACTCGAAGAGTCAGTTCTTAGGTCAAAGACCAATTCTGGATTAATCCCATTTAGAGCTGCAGCGTTTCCCAAATCAAGCTCGTGCTCTTCCTAAATTTTAAGGTCATTTGCATGGGGCAGAAGAGCTAGTTGAGCCAGCTATAGGGACACATATAGGTGACCAGCTGAGATTCACTCCTTTTGAAGCAAGGCAATGCAGAGCCGTCGTAGGAAAAAGTTGCGTTCTTCACAGGGATTAAGGCTTAAGACGCCTGCTTCAAGATTCAGCTGTGGCGGTACCTAGATGGCAAACTAGTGGTGCACAGTGTAAAGCTGTCTAGTGAGCATGGTATTGACTAGGAAAAGAAGTGTTGGGCTTGTCAAGCCACAGGAGGACTACTTCCCTCCATTTTTGTGTTGCACGGGCAACCTGAGCAGAGAAAACCAGAAGTTTCACTATCACAGACCTTTTTTAAAAATCACAAAACGGACCTGGTGGGTTTATTTTGTTGCTAAGGGCTCTCTTTCAGCAAGAAATTGGTGCCTGGTGCAACACCCAAAGCAGTAGAACATGGTCGATATGGAGTACAAGAGGTGTTCCCGGAGTAGGCAAGTGCCACTTAAGCGGTCGCTACCCCTGCATGCTGATCTAAAAGCAGCAGAGTCATGGCAGTGCTCCAGCACTGCCATGACTCTGCTGCTTCTAGTGCGTGTGCAGCTGTTATTACTTTGTGCGCCATGACAACCCCGAGTTGCCCTATTACTGGACATCACCGCAGGCGTGCACCCATTTCTCCCCCAAAGTGACTCACCCTTAAAAGGGAAGCTGTTCAGACAAGCTCGTGCAAAGAATCTGCTCAAATTCTGTAGGAAGCTTTAACTATGAGGCATCTACTGCATCTATAGGATTCCAAGGTCCTGTAAGTCTGGTATGTATTTCAAACTACTCTCTAGACCTTTTATGCCGCATTTAGCTAACAGAAAACTACCCGAACTTGCCAATAGAAAGTTGAATGCCCTCATTGGTCACAGACCTCCTCGTGAGCATTGGAGGGCATTTCACCGTTTCAGTTGCTGTTAAAGCTTCAAACATGCCACTGTTTTGGTGCTGTAGCACTTAGGTCTCTTCAATTTGGTGTTGGGAAGCCACGAATGCAGTATTAAATGTATTTACATGATGCGGTCTCCACAGGAACAGGCACCGGAGGTGCATCCTTAGAAGGCATGTACATGAGGGCCTTTAAAAAATAGCCACATGTTCAAAACCAACGATATTATGAACTTGATTCGGCAACATCAGACACTAGAAGTATGAATCCACTGCTCAGAGCTTTCTTTGAGGGCCCCCTTCAGCCCCACTTGCTCAGTTTCCAGAATATGCCACATAATTTTTTGGAGCTGAAGTATGTTCACGTACTGCGTGCTACTTTTGTATGAGTGCAGCCATAAGCCATAGAGACAACTATTGGTACCCTGTGGAGATTCTGACTTACAGGACCACTTCGAACACTGTGAGCCCCAAAACATGGCTCGTTGCCTTTAGGCCTAATGGAATCGTTCATACGGAGTCAAACTGCACATTAGAACAATTTTCCGATGGCGACTGTAGAGGTGTGCTGGCCTGAGGTGTGGCGCCTGCAAGGAAGTTTGCTTGCCGATGAGCGAAGCCATCTGCTGGGTACGATACGGCGGCAAGCAACTAACAAACTCTGCGGCATTTGGCTTCCCCAGGAAATTGCGGCTAGATGAGGTGCGGCACGAAAACCGTACAGACCTTCACTTCATTCCTAGTTTTGCTGTGCGACCGTGTGCAGCTGAAGTCGAAGTCGTCGCTTTGCTGCTTCTGCACATGCGTGAAGATGCTTTAATCAGACAGTTGGAAGTTGACCCCAAGCTGCGGAAGTGGCTAAAAGAACTGCTGTTGCAGTTGCCTTCAGCGTATGACTGCTACTCTGCCGAGGCATACCCTCTGACTCAAACAACGCAGAAGTACGGAGGATACAGCCGCACAGAGCTGCTCTTGCCTCGCTGATAAGTCTAGTGGCAGAAACATTAAATGTCATGCTTCTCCACTGCACAGCGCTGGGGTTTCCTTCACTTGTCCTCACATTGGTGTGGTCAGGCTCTTGCTGCGGGTTTTCTTGCGGCTGGCGAAGTTGCAGTTGGTAAACCTGAAGGTGCAGCAGCTACTTTCTCTGCCATCTACAGCTTGTTTGGATATCTGCTTATGCTGGGAGGCGGCAGACCCGAATCTGTGCCGCGAAGTCGCCTTCACCTTACTGACGTCGCTGAAGCCCACGAAGCGACAGAGGCTGATAGTCGAGTTGAGAGAGTCTGTGCTTCGTGCACTTGACGTTGCAGCGAAGAGATTTGACACGATCAGCATGCGGCCAGACTGCCCCGTGTTGTGCCCACAATTGTCAGCTGCACAGGCGGACCATACTTCTTCGTCTTGGCAAGCGGCTGCTGCAGGTGCTCTGCAGCATTTGATAGAAGTCCTATCGGCTTTGCGAGTAGCTACGTGCTGTTTACCAGTGTCCTTTGCACTGGAGCTATGGGAAAGAAGACAAGATAAGGACTCGTCACATCCCACTATTGAAGCCATGCTCAACTCGCTCAGGAAGCCGGAAGCCCCTAAAATTGTCGAGGCTCCTTTCGCAGCCCTCCTTAGAGGGGTCTATGCAAAACTGGTGAGATTTTAGGCATTCTACGTATAAATCTACAAGCTGCGTTTAAGCAGCCCCTGTTCGCTTTCCATACGGGTTCTTTCAACAGCTGCGCTAGCTGTAGTGTGCCTTGGTGTGGAACTTTGGGTTGAACACATTCGTGATGCTGCCTATTGACCTGCTCCAGACACGCCCACCGTGGACCGAAAGGTCCACATCAATCATGCCACCAAGCCTTCATCAGGCGGCTATCAGGGCTCGGTTACTGATATGCAACTGTCTAGTTGGGGACGCAACTGCCCAAAGCCGCGCAATTCGGGAGGAGCTCAGTACCGGAGACACCAGAAGACGTAGTCGGTGGCTAGAGCAGCAATCAAGTAATTTACTACAGGATTGGGGCGCTTCGCTTCTTCAGCTATTTGAGGTGACTTTGAAGCACGCCAATAAACCATCACGACTTCCCCAATAACTGTGGGTCGCTTTTGAGGTGCAGGCGGCACTGTGAATATTTCATCTGCGGCATTGCAGGACTGCTCCCCCAACGGTGGCACCACAGAATGTATTATCAATGACCTATCTTTTAGTGGAATTCGTCGTTTGCTGGATCACTGGCGCTCACTTGATGTGTATGTCCCTTGAGATGCCTGCTTTTGGTCATCAGCTGGCGACAAGACTAACCAGCAGAATGAGGATTCGGAGGCATGTATTCAACAAACAGCGTACGGACAACTATCAAGGTTCTGCGTTTAACGTGCAGAAGCTCGTTTTGACTTGTGCCACAGGAGTGCGGATGAAATAGACTACGTCGACTCTATTTTGTCCTCTCCCAAGCATGTAAGAGCGCCATGGATATTGATACCAACTTTGTCCTGTTTGATGCAGCTTACATATGACTATTTAGCTAATAGCAGTGCCACAGGGGTTCAAGGGCTGCTGACACTGCTGCAGCGGACGCTTCAGCACGCAGATTGAAGAAATATTCCGGGTGATTTTGCGGGAGCTGACGCTGGTTGGTTTTTTCACAGAGTGGCGATGCAGTGGTGCCCACATGCGCATCGCTTGCTGTTCCTTCTGAAAAAAAAGAGACGGTTTGGGTTCTGAACCCAACAGATGCAGCAACTGTAAAGTGAGTTACGCAAGGGCTTTTCTCTAGATCACGAATGCTTTTTTTGCATGCTTCTGCAGACACTGGAGTCTTTGAGAGCATCTTGTTTTTACAGCCACTACTAGTGGTTGAATATATGGGTCTCAGGCAGCTACAGGAGATGCTTCCCGATCACGGCCCAGGATTTTTGTACTTGGCTCTGCGAGAGCTACGAGGAAACGCAGACGAAGTTGTTTCTTTTGTGGTTGAAAAGATGAAGCCTGCTGCCTTGCGCTCTGTTCCGCTGAAGGCGACTCTCCAAGGTAATCAACTCTGGTGTCCTCTAAGAAAGCCTGACACATTCCAGTCGAGTTTTTGCCATGCATGCGGTAATGGTGTTTGGGGCGTGATGGTCTTGCGGAACAGCAGCTGCTATTTGTATTCCCTCAACCACAGCAAGTGTGTCAGAACTCTTCCAACAATGCTGTTACCCCAGATGCGGCGGAGTACATAGAACAGGAAGAGAAGGGTGCAGCTGCACTATCAAACAAGATCCTTCACAGCGGAGATATTGAGCGGCAGGTCCTTGCTCTCGCGTGAGTTCACGCACCTTGGAGCTCACATTGTAGCCCTTCTGTCGTCATTGTAAAATGAATTTGAAACTTTTATCCCTGCAGCCTTTCAGTTCTTCTGCCTATGCAGTAGTTGGGAGCAAATCAAGAGCCAGAGAAAGCCACGTATGCGAGCGCAGGGAAAGGGCTGCTGAAGAAGTTCTGCAGGGTAGTGAAGACTCGGGTGGTTCACTCTACGACGATGATGCTAACGATGATCTCCTCGCGGATGGCGTGACCACGCCGTGGAACCATGTAGAGTGTCAGCGTTAACTTAGAGAGCATATGCTACCCTTAGTTAACAACAAAAGCTTCTGTGCAGGCAGTCACCCCGGCCGCCACACTGCAGATCATGGGGCCCTCAAGAGAAACTTCCCCAGTTACGTGAAATGCATACTTAGTGCTTTTCTGCGGATCAACGTTGTGTTTTGCAGCCGAGGAAGAGGAGTCCTCCTCATCTCGGGAATCCACGCAGGAGGATGCAACCTCTGAGCAGGCATCCCGAGGAGGTAATTATAACCTGCTTTCGTGCAAAGATTTCCGAGATAATTGTCTTCCTGCATTCAAAGCTCCAGCATGCTGGAGCCTGACAATGCTGTTTCCTAGGAAACATCGTAGGCTGTCCAAAGCGCACTGTGTAAAACGTGCTTGTTAGGACGCATGCCAGTCAGGGGAGGGACGTTGTTGGCTCGACGCAAGGAGACGAATAAAGCTGCTGTAGGAAACCACTCGCGACGCAACCAGTAAGCGTCGCAGCGCCGCAGCGACTACCGTGCTTCTAAAGTAGCAACGATTCACCACAGTGCCAGTTGTGTGAGGATAGAGTGCCCCGGTATACAATGAGCCGTTTATGTCATTACTTCTGGCGGTGGAGTACCCCAAACAAACCCTTTGTGTGTGTGACATCCGAAGACGGCGTAGGAAGATTGAGCGCTGTATGGGTCTCTAAATGCACAAACTAAGTTCTTGTTCACAGCACCAACTGGCCTCGGAACACCTTCATACGAGGTGCCGATTGGAGCGAAGGCTCGCCGGGTTGATCGCCCTAAGAAGACAAGGCTTTCGTTGAAGCACTCGGCTCGTTCCGTTTCACCCGAAGTGCGGCCCTCAGAGCGCTCGCCCTATCCCTGCCAGCTTTGTGGGCGCACACACGTGTCAGCTCCGAAGCGAAGCAAACACATGCTCGTCAACTAATAGCTGGACACCTTTCATCGTAGTTCGGGTTCTGAGGGGGCATCAGACGCATATAAAGACGAGGGGAAGTCTATATAAAGACGAGGGGAAGTCTTGAAGAAGCAGCCGCGTGGCGAAGGAACATCAGATGCCGACCACGCCCAAGACCTAACTGCTTTCGCCTCACATTTTGACTATGTATGCTGCTTTGTTCTCTACCCTGCTGGTGGCTTCCCATGTCGCGCGTGCATTGGGGAGACAGCTTAAAGTACGACTCCTTGAGGGCGACACTAAGTCATGACAGCTATTCAAAGCGACTACGCAGCGACTGAATGGTCGCTGGGATGTTGCATGTAAAGTGAAGAAGTGGAAACATTTGCTGGGCTCTCACGCAGGCTACTTCTCGCCGCTGTGTGACGTCGCCTGCAGATTGCTTACCTTCGGACCGAGAATATCCTAACTGTCTTGCTACTAGTGCCGCTTAAGTGCGTGGCCCGTATGTCTGTCATTTGGCGAATCATCCTCTTCTGCTTGATCTTCATCTAGTCGTAGCAGTTCGTCTATTCGGTGCAGTGGTTCCCGGATAAACGAGACGCGGGCTGAGGCAGCCTCAAAAGCTTCCCGCGTCAGTTCCTTGCTGTTTCGCTCTACGTTCCCTGAGGAACAGGAACGCCACCACAGCAGGGCATACACGAATGCTTACAATTTCCACTGCTCCAATCACTTTGTATCGTTGTTTTGATTGGAGGTTCTGCACTGTTCAAAGTCGAATGAATTTCCTCGGGTTTCAATGATTCTAAAGATGAATTCACCATGGCAAGAACCTGCCACAATGCTTTTAGTGGCATGCGACGGCACAGGCTCTGCAGTCTAATGAAAGAAACTGCAACTCGTCCCGTACCTGCAGTAGACACCTTCTCAATCCAGTGTGCTCTTGTGCGATCGAAGAAATCCCTTAAGCACTCGCCCTGCGCAGGTGTTTCCAGGGGGTCGTCAAGGTCGTACTGCTCCTGCGACGAACATATTTGCATTCTCGGGCATCTATGCCATACGAATGAAGGCTGCAGTGCAGCTAATGACCCGGCTTTAATCATACAGAATGCTCTGAATGCACTCTGCAGCTGCGGAGCTTTTGACAGTTTACCAGTATGTCGAGCGTTGCTACGATGCTACCCACTGAATATGATACGAAAAGTGATCAAATTATTCCATGCAGCATTCCATTTACCCTCAGCTGCTGTATTTCCTCCTGCACGCGACGTCGCACCCGCTGTACATTGCCTTGCCGTCGTGGTACTTCTGAGGGCAAAAGAAGCTCATGTGCGGTGTACCTCTGCAGTCGTCATCCCAGTCAAAGCCTGCTACCTGTGCCACATGGCGTACCCTCATCCGACTCTGATGTTCCGTCGTCCAGCTCATCGCTCTCCAAGCTACTGGAACCACTGCTGCTGCTGTTAGCATCGCCGTCGCTTTCATTGCTACTCTCATGGTCACTGTCTGCTCCTTGCCATTCCTGTTCGTGCATAGTGCCCTCCAGCACTCGAATCCAGCGATCTCTGTAGGCAAATCTTCTCAGAAGCACTCCGCTTCAAGTTCATACTTACTGCTTTTTAAAACCGTAAAAGGCTTGTCATCTACGCGGAACACCAACTGTGAGGCAAAGTCTTCCAGGAAGCGTTTAAGTATGTCAGTGGTAATTGGACAGCTGCGAATTAGCGCAATAGCCACTTTAAAAACCGCCCAATGCTGGAGTTATGCATGGGTTTCTACCCAAATCACACACCTCTTATTTAGATTGAGGGTCCAGCAGTCATCTAGAGTGATCTCCTTGCTCCCCAGCTCCATTATGCCCCCCATGAGGACCAAGTTCGAACCACGCACGCAAAGCATTCCATGAAGACGCGGTAGCGGCATATCAGCCGAAAACAGTGGAGGAGTCTTTTGCGTTTCTAATGCCCTCAGTGGAGCTGCGTCGATCTTTGTTGCATCAGCCGGGGAACCATTAGGCTGCGTCTGCGTATCATGACACTCGGCGGAGTTATGCGCTTCCACACATGAATGAATCTCAGAGAGACTGGACAGAGTCTCAGTTGTGTCGGCATTCTTCTCGTTGCCATGAACTAAAGAAGCCCCATGGACTGCCGGTTCATTATCTGGTTCTCTCCGCCTAGGGGCGTCGTCTTGAGTAGGCATTAGGGGCTGCTTCACTTCCGAAAAATCCTGAAGACGTAGCTTCACCAGGCGGCCTTTGGCATCAAAGTAAGCGAATGTTTCCTGAGATAAAAGACCACTGAAACCCGCAACGCGGCTAGTGAGCTCTACAGCACTACACGCATACTCTCAAATTACCCAAAAACCCTTTTGTTGTGCTTAACATGAACCATCTTCTTTCAACATACTTTCCAGTTTTCTTCACCGTCAGAATATTCTTCATCAGCGTTGTTTTCGCAGTTGCTTTGCTCTTCCACAAGGCCCTGTTGACCTGGAAACCAACATCCATGACTTTCGCTGTGTCCTTAATAGCAGTTCTGCACATCTTTGGTATCAATGCACTTGACTTGCTGAAATTGCTGACCACGAAATCCGCCTCGTCAAGCTTACCTACAGCTTGCTCAAGCTGCTCGCAAGGTTGCCTTTTGCGGTTCTTCTTCTTTCCATCCTTAAGCTCGAGCCGGTACCAGCGCCTAAGCAAAATAAGTTTGAGACAACTCTCTCCTAAAACTAATATGCGAGGTATTCATAAAAATAGCTCTCTCCAAGCAGGCGGGGCTTGCTGAAGAATTGTCCAGACAACCGCGTGAACGACGCAAAGAGCAGAAAACATGCCTTTGGACCTACCTCTTGGTCATATCAAACGAATGAAGATCGTTGAAAAACACGGATGCCAGGTTTGTCCCTCCATCATCTTGGTCGGCGACGCCGCCAAAAACAATCACACTAGACTTGTATCCAGTTGCGCACATTCCTGAAAGAAAGTCAGGGAAGTCCGCAAAACACGTTACCAGAACGTCGGCCAAGGGCAGCTCAGATTCTGATTCAGCAGGCAGTGCACGAAACTGCAAACACCGGCATTCAGACTAGCTCCAAACTTATACTACAATAGCATATAATCCAGCAAGTGCACGGCAAAGGATCTTCAGGAGCATGCATCAGCTCACCTGTTCTCGGCGAGGGTGGAGTACCGCCATTTCTAATTTTTTCCCAGTTGGGAGTTTGCGTCCGTGCTCCCTTAGCCAGAGGCTTCAAGTCCAAAAGCCACGAGTCCTGAGTCGATTCACAGCCCTTGACGTTTTTTACACTTAATTTTAGTGATCTTCACTGCAAGCTGCTTTCTAGTTTATAAAACGATTTTCACTAAGACCTTATGGCTTTAACATGCGCCAAGCACCCCTGGCGTGAAATGCGTGTACCACAATGCATGGCAACCTCAATACACGAGATTTGGCTGGGCCTGTGAATCCAAAACCTACAGTAAATGTTTTCCCTTGGACACGTTTGTTAGTGTCTCTGATCTTGGCGAAGCCACCATGAAGCAGTATCGCATCTCCAACAGCAATAAAGATACAGCCGCCTCGGGCCTCAGGAATGTGAGCATGAGGAGGAAACTCTATTTTCCTCCATCTGACAAAAGTTAACCTCACTAGATTGGTTATTTTTTCAATAAACTGCCGTAACTACCAACACATAACACTGGCAGCTATCAGTAGATCAAGCTCAACGCAGGACTGTCACCTTCTTTGGCTGATCGCTGAGTCAACACTCAGCGCAAAATCAGGGGGTTAAATCAGCGAACAAACCTGTTTTCGCCAAAGATAAATATATATAAATCGTTGTAGTAGCGTGTATCTCTCCCCGTGTCGTGAAACCCGCCAAACAGAATCAACAAGCCACGCCAAACGACCTGCAGCATCCGCAAATGTAGAGTTGTATCGCCTTAGCGAATTATCCATATGCGGCGCCTCTACTTCCGACCCTAGGCAAAACTACTCTCCGAAGTTCCTGCATGGCTCCTTGGCATGACCTCTCGGACCCACACCAACAATATTCTGCCACGGAACAACATGAAACCAACTGCAGCACCATGTGAAGCATCCCAACGTCCCCATCGGTGCTCTCTTCCTATTTCGCTGTGCAGCTAAACCAGTAATTTACGCTTCTTCAAGCCTTCATGGACTTAAGAGAACCCGCTGAAGACAAACCATTCTGTGTCCGCTCCGAGGTGAAGGAACCTGTGTAGAGGACTCCACGAGTATTTTGCTCCACAAATTCGTCTTCAGATCAAATTTCCAAAAGTCTTTGAAATGGTGGAACTGATAATATGTCGAAAATTCACCTCCAAATATATACAATGCGTCACTGAAAGCAGCACGAGAAACATGAGGCAGTTCGACAAACCCCAACTTTTTCGCTTTCATGAGCGAACTCCAAATATCCGAACACTTTCGGCCCTACAAACCGCCTAGAATTCCTCCAAAGTATCCTCGAATACGGCTGCGCTTTGTCACCAAAAAAACTCAGTCCATTCTGGTTCCTTGCAGCCAATGGCTCCGCAAGGCAAGCTCTTGGGCTCACTTGTGATATACGGCTTGGTGAGAGCAGCGTGCCTTCGGCATTTCGGGGGCTTCGAGACGTCTCCATTCAGCTTTGTCCATATCCCACTTGAAGAGGTCACCGAAGACACGGACTTTCTTGCCGTCAAAACTCTCCCCACCAAAAAGCAAGAAGTCCCCACTTCGCAGTGAGACACGCAAGCAGTCGGCAAAACATCTCATCATTCAATGAAGAGATAACCACCAAGTAATGGCGACGGATTACAACATATAGAAGCCGTGACCATACCTTGGTACGAGGGTTAGAGATGCATGGGCCCTAGGTGACGGTTGTTCACACTGTACAGCTTGGGTCTTATTGATTTGTCTTTGTCGCTGTTCTTCTTCCAGTTGCTGAAGCAGCACTTCTATTGGAGTCTCATCACAGTCTACCTCGCCTTTTTTCTGCTTTTTCTTTTGCTCTTTAGCTGCGGCTTTTCTCTGCTGCAGTTCCCGTCGTGCAGCCTTTTGTTGTGCTTTTTGGACGTTGCCCTTCGTGGGAGCCATCCTCTGTGCGTTGTTTATGCGAAAATTACATAGTACTTCGCACAGTAAAAAGCGTGAGTGGCCTGAGCTGTAACCCTTCCGCGCTATGGGAATGGAACATTGACTGGAGCTCGATGCATTTGCCGCTCCCCAAATGTCGCCAATATATGAAAACGCCAAATACCACGGTGATTTTTAAATACTTTCAGAATTCGTGGGTAAAATCTGGAAGCTGCGGATAAAGGCCTTATATCAGCATGCATCGGCCCCACAGGCCTTCTAGGCACAAGGAAGGAATTTGGATCACTAAAAGAAAGGCATGCGCCAGCTGAATTCAAACATATTGTTACAAGCAGAAATCTGGATGAGTGCACTGAATTCAAGAATTTTCAGCCAGCTAGAAACGCAGTGCTGCCCTATTGGTGGCTGCAAGTGACCACTGGTTTCGCGCTTGAAAGATGGCCTGCGCTTGCTATTGACAGACCGAAACTCTCTTTCGGTAGCTCAACACAACGCGCAAATTATGCATTAGTTTTCGATTTCACTAGGCGATGTGCTACCTGTGAGGTGCCTCTGTAAGCACCGTAAGCTTTAGTAGGCGATTTTCATTGCATTGCCTTCTGTCTCTGCCTCCGGCTCGATGGCTTTTGATTCGTTCCGTTCCTCCAGGGACCTGAATTCCAGTGAGCCCCATTAGCAGATCCCAGCAACAAAACTCCACGCCATGGGCACGTTCGTTGTTCTCAAGACCGCGGGGTCCCCGCGGGTTGCACTAGGCCAGTTCCCCTCGTTATACTAGTTTTCCGTAGCTTGTGGAAGTGCCGCATCAAGTGACACTGGGGCAATCAATCTGCCAGCTTAACTCCAAAGAGGCAGAACGTCGCATCTGGGCTACTTCGTTGATACGCTTGTTTAGAATACCACATACGTAACATGTTGGCTGCATTAATTATCTTTCCCATTGTCTACGTCGGGACCTTAAGAGCTGGTTCTTCACAGCGCACATATCGGCCTTTACGTCGATTTTCTCTATCTTCCGCTTCCCTTGGTCAGCGTAAGAGGCTCGGAGAATTCTCGATTCCCTATCTAGCCTGCTTAAAGCTGGACTCATGCTAACCTGTTGTTGCCGCAGCAGGGTAGTCACACCGGTACTGAAGCAGACCAGGAACACCGAAAGCCCGCCACTCACACGCTGGAAGTGCTGACTCACTCATACCAAACAATGTGGGGCATCCGCCACGCATTAGTAGAGCAGAAGGGGCGCTACAGCGTTTGCGACCTTGCAGACTGTATTCCTAGCCGTCTCTCCTAAACTCCTAGTTGACTGTTCAGCCCTCATCATTAACGACAAGACGACGAGCCCTCGAGCCTTACAGCTGTCTGCGGAGGTGTGGTCGAGGCCACGTGGAGCAAGCATGGCTTCTGCTTTTAAAGGACTGTGCGCAACTGAGCTACCTTGCAGTCGCTTCACTAGTACTTGCTGGCAACTAGGAGACTTGTTCATCCTTCATAGTTGTGATACTACTGCACGGGACACAGCTCTGTCGTTTTCACAGGCAGCAAATGTGATCCCCGATGTTCTACGGCATTTAATACAAATAGCAGGCACCATGCTATTCGCCCCAAGGGTTACAAATCCTACCTAATACAAATAGCAGACGTCATGCTATTCGCCCCAAGGGTTACAAATTCTACCTAATACAAATAGCAGACGTCATGCTATTCAATCCGCGGGTTACAAATCCTCCCAAAACAAATAGCAGGCGCCATGCTATTCGCCCCAAGGGCTACAAAGACCCGTCACACTGAAGTTAGACGGCGAGTGTCAAGTAGAAAGCCCTGCGTGTTGACACGTGCTTGCGGACACCAGCACTACAAATAATTCCACTGGGACCTTGAACCTGGTCCCTAAATCGAATGGCTGTATACTCCACAATGCTCAGCAAATGCTTGGAGCGAAGCCCGAAGGTGAGGCCAAAGCTACACCATTGCTTACAATGTAGGCATCCACGACACATGGAATGCAGCAGAACAAAAGCGATGATCTAGGCGAAAATGTATGACTTCAAGTGCATCTTTGCTGAAGGACGTGCATTAACCTGGCAAAACCTAATGAAGAGGCCGTGAAAAGTAAGCACAAAGCTACGCAAACGCAAGAATCCTCCTCTTTCGCATCTTGATGTTAACCTAGCCAACGCATTTAACTGAAAACTGTGGAGAAAGACCAGCAGCTGATGTGCTTGCAGTTCTAAGCACTACAGGCACAAAATGATGGAACGTGTTCTAAGGGATTGCTTCACAGGTATGCGGCGAATCCTGATACTTCTTACGGTGCACCCAGTACTGCCAATTCAACATTTCAGCAAGAAAATATGACACTTTGTCGATGCAATACTAGCAGTCCCAAGACCTTGGGATGGATGCCTATGGTGCCCTGAAGTCAGGCTTGCCCTCCCTTTTGGGATACCTGCTGCTTGCCACAATGCTACTAGAAAGGGTGCGCTCGGGGTCTCGTTTTAATATTCTACTGCTCCAGCACGACGCCCACCGAAAATGTGCTTTGATAATGCGCCCGTCATGACGGCTTGTCGCCGTTGTGAAGGCAGTACGAAACTGAGGAAGCCTGCCTCCTTGCTCATATTTCGAATGCCCATATTATTCGTCTTGAGTCCATACAAGAATACCCTGGACATCTAACAATCGGAGATAAATCTCCAACGCCGTGGCATCCCGCTACTTCGAGTAACGCCCACAATAAGCGCCTCTCCCATACTTCAATAACACAAGTGAAATTCAATCCAATATCAAAAAATTGCGATGCATATCGGAGCTGTCATGCGGTCTAATCTAGCCTCCCGCACCATAAAATGCACACACGTAGTGCAAAAGTCATCCAAGATGACATTCGCGCTGCCATCCACCGTTATGAGCACCATTTGGACATAAAGTTCCTCAGAGCCCGCCCAATGGACATTCAGACCCGTGGTGCTTTGGCTGTCGGCTTCGGTGTAGGTCAGGCTCGTGGTGCTTTGGATGTAGGCTTCGGTGTAGGCCTTGGTTCAAGTCCAGTTGCCAGAATATAATATCCGGCAAACAGCAATACCACCGAGAGAAGATCGACAAAAAAATGTCGCTTGATTTTCTGGGACATGACGCCCAAACTGCACGTAAACACACACACGCAAGAGAATCTGAAGGCAACTTTGGGGAAAAGAGCGCCTTAATCTACAGAGCAGGAACTCAGCGAGTCTTTCGAAATGAGCCACCCAGCAGTTAGTCGAAGGCATGCATCATGGCGGCACCACGGTGGCGGCGGCTAAGGCAAGGGCGTAGTCCGATTACATGTAAGCAATGTCCCGCCTTCTCTAAATGCTTACAAATACTGCGTGTCTGACGACTTCTCCGTCTCTGTTGCATCTGCCTCAAGCATGAAAGTACGAAGAAGCTCGAGATTTGCCCTCTCTTGCTCTTCCGATGAAACAGTGACGCCCATAGGACCTGCATTCTGCGATGCAACGCCTGCATCGACTCCTGCAGAAGCACCGCTTTGCGCAACACGGCCAGCCGTATGAGCACTCACTTCCTCCACATTCTCCACCACAGGTATATCCGCACTTCTGGCTGCATCGACTGCGGCAGAATAGTGACCGACGAGCAGCAGCTGTAGCATCACCAACGCCAATAGTCCACATCGGCGAAACGGCCTGGGCCGAGTCTGTCTCCTTGCGCTCCCCATGACTTTACTGGAAGAGTCCCTAGCAACTAGCGTCTCATGACGCTGAGCATGCGCCCCACACCGAGGAGAGGCGGGCGCCCGCCGACC